CCCACAACCCAGGCATGTACCCTGGCCAGGAATAATGGGAGGATGCCCAACCAAATGAGCCACACCAGCCAGGGCCAATTAGGTCATTTTATTTTCTTGTCTAATAGCCTCCAAAATGCCCCTGAGGTACTCAGACTAAATGCTACCTTGACCTGTCTTGCTGGCTCAGGCTGTTTAGAGAGTCCTTGAATACACTGCAGAGTCCTACAGACCAATAGCCAGCTGAATCTTGCAGACTCTTTCAAGAAGATGGATTTGGGCACTAAGCAAAAACAGACTCACTGAACTACAAACTGGGCATTTCAGCACGTCTCCATTTGAAAACAAATGAGCATTTCTGAACCGCTACCGAACGCAGTAATGATGACAAGCAATGAAACCCAACACAAAAGAGGTCACCAACAGCCCATAGCAAAGCAGTCCCAGTGGCAGTTCCATGCCTCCTGCCTGCGCTGGGCAGATACATTCACTTTCTTTTCTCAGAAGAACTTGGGAAACTGTACAGAAACTAAACTCCAGCCGTATTTCTTACTTGCCACTTAAGTACATTGGAAAACTTATGAGGTCAAAGATCAGAAACCGAAATCTCTCATTTTTCCCACCTCATGCCATTCACCTGCATTAACAAACTCTGTCAAGCCTAAATCTAGAAAAAAATCTTGCCAGTGGCAAAAACTGTAAGACTATTTGCTCAGGTCCCTCATGTGCTTTCCCTCTTAATGCTACTCCCCACTCGCACCAAGGTTCTGGTGACTGAAGACACAGAATCTGCCCTCTTCTGTCCCAGCCCTCACACCTTTGGTATCGTTAGCACCTGGCCGCCATGTGTCTTTTCCTAGCAAAATACTGATGAAACGTTTAAAATCTGAAAGCCATTAGGGATAAACTCTCAATGCCCATTAAAGTAAAAATTAAAAGACGAAAGTAGTGTTTCTAAGTCGTATTTCAAGAATTATTGGTATTCCTGAGATTACTGGGCCAAAAAATCGTTCATTGATCAAAGGAGTACTTGGAAAACACTCATATACTATATTGTCTACTTGGAAAGTCACAACACACGCTGGAGTGCTTAAAGGATTTAAAAAGGAGGCGAAACCAAAATAATTTTCAATTGGGGGATAGTTAAATGCATTCAAGAACAGTAATCAGCTGTTTAAAAAAGATGATATAAATTTCTACACACTATTCTGAAATGTCTCCTAGACATGCTGCTGAATAAAAATTAAATCAAAATTCTAAACATGAATAATAGTCCATTAAAAACCTCCAAGTTCTGTGTGTGTATGTTTTATATGCAATACAATAAAATATATATAAATTCCAAAAGGATGTATACCAAATTATTAAGAATGACAGCCCCCCGGGAATAGGGCTGGGGGGCAGAGGGAGACTTATAGATTTAGGTATTATTTGAATTGCTTTATAGCCCCTTTATTACTTTTATAATAAAAAACAAGCACTATATTAAAAAAGAGAAGTAAAAATCGAGCAGTAAATACATCTGTTTAGCTTTAAGTGAGCACGTCCCAACTCATGTGATCAAGGAACCCGTTTTGTGGAGTGCGCAGAAACAACTTGTGCAACAAATTTTTAAGTTACTGCACCCAAGGCTCTCCCCACTCCCTGCTAGCATATGGGTTTTCACCTTCTGTGACCTTCCGTAAATGAGTGAAGGAGATAGAAGGGACTTCAGAGGTGGTCATGGACACTCCCCTCACTTTTGCAATGAAGGGGCTAAGGCAGTGGTCGGCAAACTGCGGCCCCTTGAGTGTGGCTCTTCCACAAAATACCACGTGCAGGCGCGCACGTACAGTGCGATTGAAACTTCGTGGCCACACTCAAGGGGCCAAAGAGCCGCATGTGGCTCGCCAGCCACAGTTTGACGACCACTGGGCTAAGGTAATGAAGAGAAGGGCCTTGGCCTGAATCCCCTAATCCTCACCTGGGTCCTTACACATCTTTCTTGTAATCACCAGGTGAATTAGATGGGCCATGAACTTTGAATTTCATTAAAAAACTCATTAAATTTTTAAAAAATCATTAAAAAAACCTCCAGGACTCAAGAAAATTGTCAGGACCTCTGAGTAAGCCCTGGCCTCAACGTGCTCCCTGCAGTTCCAGGCACAGTGCAGGGGAGTCCTAAGGACCCCTCCTTCTTCCCAACGGCCTATCTTGTTCTACAGCTTTTTAGGAGGAGGTAAGTGCCGTTGAAAGGAAGGGACCCTAGTCCTGGCTGGTTTAGCTCCGTGGATAGAGCGTCGGCCTGCGGACTAAAGGTTCGATTATGGTCAAGGGCACATGCCTGGGTTGTGGGCTCAATCCCCAGTGGGGGGCGTGCAGGAGACAGCCAATCAATGGTTCTCTCTCATCATTGATGTTTCTATCTTTCTCTCCCTCTCCCTTCCTCTCTGAAATCAATAAAACATATTTAAAAAAACAAAAACAAAGGAAGGGACCTTGGAAACAGCTGGTAGAAAACAGCAAGGGTCTTGCAGCAACTTGGGATTCCGGTGAAGATACATAGAAGCATAAATGTCCTCATTCCCTCAAACAGCATGGGGTTGAGCTGGGCAGGACTGGCTTTGAATCTAATCTCTTGATTCTGCCTTTCACGCACTAACATTAAGTTCCTTAACTGGGCGCCTCAGTTTCCTCATCGCTGAAATGGGGATAATAGCTTGTACGTCACACCTTGTGGTAGATATTAACTAAGATGAGGGCTAGGAAGGTTGCTAGCATATGGGGCACAGCATATGTAGTCAAGAAATGTGACTTCCCACCTTTTCCCTCACACAGCCAGCCGCTGCTCCATTCAATCTTTACGCTACCAATCCTGGGCGACAGGCCCAGGGGATCTGCATAAAATGTACCTACACTGGAGGAAATGGCTGTCTGGTGGAGGAGACGACATGATTTGGGCACAGTGGGTGTGGCAGGTGCACTGACAGAGGTGAGTTCCACTGTACCACCCACCTGAGCACCAGGGCACCATCAGCCTGGGGGCCTGACACTGGAGCTGCCTCTCAGTGTCCCAGTGACCTCAAGGGATTCACTACAGCTTTGGTGTGACCCACAGATTTGTTGTAAACATCGCCTGGATCATAGCAGTTAAGCTGATCAAGGGAAGTATGAGCTGGGGAAGACCACACTGCAAATAAGTGGAGAGGTTAGGAGCAGAGGATCTCAAGCCACGCTGCCCACATTCAAACCCTTCCCCAGTGTTTTTTTATTTTTTAAAATTAAACAAAATAATTCCTTTGAAACACTGAGCACAGTGGTCTGGTATATAGTAAGAGCACACAGGGAAACAGAACTATTATTGAAGCTATTTGGTATGGAAGTACTAAGGCTGAGAGGCAATGTTATTGATAATTTAAAGGCACAAAAAGATGTGGGCACGGTGGACATTGTTACTTTTGTTCACCAAATCACAGAAGAGTGGACAGAACTACTCTTTAGAATCATAGGAACTTGGTATCAAATCCTCGGTCTGGCTGTTACTAACGTGATGTTGGGTGAGTTGCTGAACCTTGATATTCTATGCAGAACTAGAGGATAATGTCAATCTTGTGGACCATTAGAATAACAAATGCAGTTACATAGAAATAAACCTGGCACACCGCCTGGCACAATAAATACATCCTGGTTTCTTTCCTTCCTTTCCCAAAACTAGCAAACCAGAGAGGAGGGGTAGCCAAACAAGAGTGTTTAGAAGTACGTATATTTGATGAAAAGATCATTCCCCATGGATTCAGAGATGATAAAAAGTTAAAATGAGGATTCTGGACTAGAGGACCTTAAAGGTTCCTCTCCCATACATCGTCTATGATTCTTCAAGTGACAATGTTATTTTTGCCACATATCTTAGCTCTATCACCTAATCAATATGATCTTGTGTCCTCTTCTGTAAAATGTGGATAAAAAACTGTGCCCACTTCTCAGGGCTACTGTTGAAATTTAGTGAGATAAAGCCCATAAAGTATTTATACTTGCCTGGCAGATAGCCACTACTCATTAATGCGGCTATCATTGCTATTGTCAGGGCCACTATAAAGATTAAAAGAGACATTGAATATAGAAGTCACGTGACAGTACTTGGCACATAGGTGGTGTACAAAATATATATATTTTTTAGCCTTCTCCCCTTTTAAAAAATATATTTTTTATTGATTTCAGAGAGGAAAGGAGAGGGATAGAGAGACAGAAACATCAATCATTGATTGGCTGCCTCCTGCATGCCCCTCTCTGGGGATTGAGCCAGAAACTAAGGCACATACCCTGACTGGGAATCAAACCGTGACCTCTTGGTTCACAGGTTAATGCTCAATCACTGAGGCACACAGCTGGGCATTGTTGCTTCTAATACCCCTCTTGATTTTACATTACTAATGGCTATGGCCCAAACCAGTAATACATGCTGTCATTCCAGTAATGACACATCCAAACAGAGCCACCAAGAGATATTAGGATAATTATTCACAGTTTTGCCAGGGATAAAAGCTCTCTGGAACAAACAGCCATGTCCAGCCCCGACAGAGGCCAGGCTCTGCCTCGAGGAGCAGCAGGTGCGTCTGCACTCTCTCCCCAGCCCTGGGAGCTACACACGTGGAGTCAATATCTGGGGGGTTAATAGTTCATCTCACAAAGACCTAAATAATAAATAATGCCTTGTCCCGAAACCACCGCTTTCTGTCCAAAGTTCAAAGCTCTCCAGTGAGTATCTCATTAACTGTTGGGATCCTCTGGGGATCCGGGTGGAGAGGCATTGCTGCTATTACCTTATAAAGATGAGAGTGTACAGTTTAGAGAAATTAAATGCCGTGTCTTTGCTCCAACAGTCCATCAGTGCTGACAGAGGGCCCGGAACCCTGGGTGCGACCCCTGAGCCAGGGCTTTAAGTCCCACCCTCGGAAGCACCTTGAAAGAGCGAACCGGGGGCCTTGGAAAGATGTGGCCCTTTGCCCCCCTCCCTCCCTAGACCAGGAAAGGGCAAGGCTCACCTGTCACTGAACTGAACCTCCTCGCCGTTCCTGGCCCAGCTGATGGTGGGCCGAGGGTTGCCCACGGCCTCGCAGTGCAGCAGCACACTCAGGGTCCCGCTGGCCAGGGCCACCGTCTGCCCAAGGTGGGTGACCACTTCGGAGGCGGAGAGCTGCTGGGCGGCCGAGATCTTCCGCAGGATGGTGGGCTTGCGGTGCGGCCGGCGGGAGCCACCGGCCGCCTCCCCGGAGGAGGAGGCGGCGGCGCGGAGCAAGCTGCTGAAGCTGGACACGGCCTTGCGAGGCGGGATGGCCACGGGGGGAATCCGCTGCTCGGACGGCTTGAGGAGGGCGTCCCGGTGCTCCCCGTGGCTGCGGAAGATGTCCTGGGCCAGCTGGGCCACCAGGTGCTTGCTGTAGACGTCGCGCAGCTCCTCGGGCTGCTGGGACAGGTTCCGCAGGATGTCATCCAGGCGCTGCTGCTCGGCCACGATGGTGAAGGGCAGGTGCAGCAGCGCCTGCTCGGCGTTCGGGTCCTCCTCGGAGGACGCGTTCCTTTCCGCCGAGTCCTGTGCCTCCCACGCGGCCAGCAGCTCGCCCGGCCAGCCGCCCTGCTCCAGCAGCCGGGACACCAGCTCATCGTAGCGGCTGCCCGCGTCTGCCGCGGCCAGGCCCCGCTTCTCAGCCTTGCTGCCGTTGGAGAAGATCCCGTTCTGGTGCTTGTGGGTCTGCAGGGCCTCCTTGGGGTGGGCCTTCCTCACCCGGGGGGCCTCTTCCTCGCTCCTCGGGCCCCCGGGCCGGGCCACGAGCTTCTGGTTGCCTCCGATGAGCTTAATCCCGAACTGCTCCCGGGCCGGGCCGGCGGAGCAGGTGTAGATGCCGGCATCGGCGGGCTTGAGGCGGTGGATCTTTAAGTAGCCGAAAGGGGCCACGGTGACGTGGGCGGAGCTGATGAGGTGCTGGCCGTCCTTCTCCCAGGTGATGAGCGGCTTGCGGAAGCGCCTCGTGGGGCACCGCAGCACCACGGTGGTCTTGGGGAGCAGGTACGCGAACCCGCCCACCACGAAGTGCAGCTTCCTCTGCCTGCGGGTCTGGATGTATACCTTTCTGGCCGCCTCAATGTGCGGGCTGTGCTTTGTGGATGGCCTCCCGGGCCCTGGAACGAAAGGGAACAGACAGACGGACAAATGGAGAGCAGAGAGACATGAGAGTGAGATGCAGGGACAAGCCAGAGGGAAAAAAGAGAGTGGGAAGGGAAGAGAAAAAGAAAGGAAGGGACAAAAGAGAGAAGAGGTGGTGAAGAAGGTGCTTCAGAGTTGCCTTATGTTTAACTGGAGGAACTGGCTACCAGCTGTGCATCATCAAGCTGCCGCCACAATAAAAACCCGAGAAGAATGAGCTGCAGTGGGGCTCTCGCCCCGCTGGGTCTTTCTGTCCCTAGAGCAGTGGTTCTCAACCTTGGCTGCACATTAGAATCGCCTGGGAATCTTTTTAAAATCCTGATTTCTGGGCCTCATCCTCCGGAAAGTCTGTTTCTTTGTTACTAATGTTGTGGCCCCACCCCATAACAAAGACACAGAATTTCTGGAGGATGAGGCCTGGAAATCAGGATTGTAAAAAGATTCCCAGGTGATTCTAACGTGCAGCCAAGGTTGAGAACCACTGCCCTAGAGGCTGGGATGCAGGGTTCTAGATGCAGGGGGTTCCAGGGGGAAGCAGTTCCTCTCATTAAAAGGACTTAGAAATGAGCATCATTGAAAAGAGGCAGAGGACAAAGGGAAGGGGAATGTCCCCCTCCCACGGTTATCCTTTGCACCCGCAGAGCACCAGAACCCTTGCGGCCCTGGGGGGAGGAGAGCTCAGAAGTGTTCCAACTCTAGGGATTAATATTAAAGAGAACAAATCTGTTCCGAGTAGTTTAAAACCCCAGTGAGGATAACATGAGCCTTCATTAGTAGTAGGCTGCCTCCAGCTTCCAGATCGCCTTATGTCCGCCAGTGAACTTTGCTCTCCCTCTTGCAAACTGTTTTTCCAGGAGAGAAGAGAATCTCACCTGGTCACCAGTAATTAAGATTCCTTTCCATCTCCAGCTGAGCTCCCCAGCCTGCTGCCTTCCAGGGCCCAACAATCTCCCAGCAGCCTGGGCTTAGGGAAGGTCACTGTGTGTTTCCACGTGGGTTTCATCTCCCCATCCCCAGAGCTCTGAGGTACTCACTTGCACAGATTGCCAGCATACAGGGCCTGATTGAGGAAGAGAACGGCAGGGGAGGGCACAGGGAGGAATTGACAATAGCCGAGACCCCGGTTTTCAGCACCTTCCTGCAAATGGCACTCCGAGTCTGGGTGCCCTCGCCGCAGCTCGTGGAACACTGATGGAGAGAAAGGCCAAATGCGTGTAAATGTAGGGAACTACAGGCAAATGGGCTTTTGTAAGAGTTCTCAAACTCACCAACACATGAGAAAAGTTATTTGAAATCTGCAATAGTCGCTGAGAGAGAGAGAGAGAGAGAGAGAGAGGGAGGATATTACTCGACAACGTGTGAAGACATGTCCATATTGCAGCCACATAACATTTTCTACTGTAAGGTTTCCTGTAGACATTTCACCTGTTTTGGTATGTGGCCTGGGCTTTAGAGTTACAGAGTTAGAGTCCACTGTTCAAATCCATCTTAGTTTTTCACTACTTGGCAAGTGACTTAAACTGTCTGAGGCTATTGCCACTTCTTGTGCTTATTTTGCAAGGTTGGGCATTAAATGAGGTAATATATTTCAAATGTCATACACAGAACTGGCATTCAATGCTAATTCCTTTCTCCTTTCTTCACAAATAAGTTAAAATATTTTAATGTCAAGTATCAGATAATTGTTATATATCTACATCATTTGAGGTGAGGTGCTAGATAGTTCCTAATGTCAAGGGGCTGTCATCAAATGAAGGAAAAAACACAAATACGTTAATAAAATGAAATAATACTTTAGGGAAAGAAATCAAAAGCACATTGAGATACCACTTCATATTCATTAGAATGGCCATCATAAAAAGGACAGGTAATAATAAGTATTGGTGAGGATGTGGAAAAATTAGAGCCTTCATAGATTGCTAGTAGGAACATAAAATAGCATAGCCCTCTTGGAAAACAGTGTAATAGTTTTCTTTTAAAAAATTTTTTAAATAGTTTCTTAAAAAGTTAAATATAAATTTACCATGAAATCCAGCAATTTTACTCTTAGGTATCTACCTAAGAGACATGAAAACATACATCCATACAAAGACTTGTATGTTAATATTCATAACAACATATTCATAACAGACAAAAAGGGAAACTCAAATGTCCATTAATTGGGAAATGGATACACAAAATGTGGTATATCTATAAAATGGAATATAATGCTATCATAAACAGGAATTTAGTTCTATGTGCTACAACATGAATAAACCTTGAAAACATGCTAAATTAAAATTTATAGTATTCAAATTATACTTCAGTTAAGCTGTTTAAAGAGTCAAATAGTAATAAAAATTTTAGTAAAAATACAAAACTAAAAGACACATGAAGTATTATAAAATTAATTCTAACAATTGTTGAATGCTTATGGTACACTGGGGATTTCCTGACCTAGGTCTTGAACATGGGTGGATCTGGACAGGTGTAGAGAACCAGGGATAAGCATGGGAGACAGGGAAATAACCAGATCAAAGGTAGAACCGTTCAGTGCAGAAGTCCAAGGCAGGTTTGGGGGCAGAACTCAACCTCTTTTGAGCAGAAGGATCCTATCGAGAGCGTCAGGAGTTCAAGAGGCCAGACGTTGGAGACTTTTAATTTTTCAGACAGGAGGTTTGGAATTGGTCCATAAAGCAAAGAGGAGCCATTGAAGGGAGGAGTGAAATGATGAAAGAGGTGTTTTGAGAAGGTTAATCTGGCAACAGTGTCCGGGAGGGATGGGAGTAGGAGATGGATGGCAGGTAGGGCTATCAGTTAAGGAGGCTGCCACAGTAGTCCAGGCTTGAGATGATAAAGGCCTGAACTAGGGTCATGGCAGGTTGCCATGGTAACTTAAAAAATGACAGTAAAAGCCAAAATATATTATCTTATCTTTTCAAGTATTATATGCTAGCCCATTGAAATAAACTATTCCATGCAAAGTTCTATGATCTACACTACTCTGAGAGACATTTAAGATGCAAAAAATGGGGATGAGAGTCAAACCTATTGATTTTGTTCCCCGATGATTATAGATTCCAGATTCCACTCATCCCTTATTTTATTGTAAATGACAGCACCAAATCCAGGGATCAGGTAGAATAGAGGTAAAGAGCCTGGAAAATTTGAAAGCATGGTCATTTTAGTGCTGCTTAGTAGAAAAATAGACTGCATGTCAGACGATTAATTTATGATATTGGTCAAGTCTAATTCTTTCTCTAGGTTCAATTTCCACATTGCTAAAATACAAAAACTAAGCTAGAGCAGGGAGTTTCAAACTGTGTTTTATAACTATGTTAAGTAAGTGATTTAGGGGCTTCTCATATGAACTGGAGACCCAACCATTGGAAATCTGGGACCACTACCCACACTTCAACCAAAATAGCTCTGACTTGATCTGTTTTAGATTTCTGGCTTCATAGTAACATTTCAATTTAAAAAGTTTCAATTTAAATAGTGCTGTGATTTTAATTTTTAAAAGAACAACTAGGCTATAGGTTCTTCTAAGTTCCCTCTAGCTTCAAAATATACTACTCTGACTTTAATTTCTTTTATATTTTTTTTGAGGGGGGCGGGAACAACTTCCCTAAAAATATGATTTAAAAATATTTGCTAGCTAACTCTTTCAGGAGATGGAACAGTTTCTTTTACACAAAAGAGGTAAGGCCTTTTGAGGGTCTTATTATCAGAGAAGAATCTGAGAGTAATTTTATTTAAGGTGTCTAAACATTTGGCTTAATTCTGTCTCTGAGGGATTCTGTGAAGTAACCAGGAGAGTGAGGCAGATAGTGGAGGATAAAGACACTCATAGATCATCCAGGTCTTCCTTTCTCCAAGGGGACTGTGGGGTGTATGTGTGGAATGCAGGTCTCATCTCATCCATGGGGCCCAGAGAAGGGCTGTTGGGATGACAGGGCCAACTGGAGCCTCTGTGAACACCTCCAGGGGCACTTTTGTATGGCACCAGTGTGAGTTTCATCTCCTTGAGTCGGTGATCACTTCCCACCATTCTCAGCCCCTCCCCAATGTTTGGAATTTCGATTCACCAACCCAGATAACTCAGAATCTAATAACATCCCTTCGATAATCACAAATGATTTCTAGTTCCCACAATGCAACTTCCTCCTCCTAGGAAGACTGATAAGGGCTGAGGAGGTCTATGCCATGACCCCTGTTCTAACCAGTCAAGGTGAGTCCTTTCTTTTATTACCTCTCTTCCTGACAATGGGCAGGGATGGGAGAGAATCATAGCAATAACTGTGGGTAACTTTTACTAGGCACAAAACACTTTATATGCATCATTTAGTTTAAGCCTCCTGATAATCACAAAGGTGGACACTATGATTATCTCCAATATTTAGATAAGTGAACTAAGGCCAAGAAAGGTTAAGTAGCCCAAGGATATTAGAGCCTTCATACATTGCTGGTGGGAATGTGAAATACAACCAGTAAGTAGTAGGGGCAGCATTAGAACCTAAGTTTGCCTCAACTCTTCACCACACATGACACTGTTGTAAAGGTCTGCTCTACTTAGTGGTTCCCATGGGACCTCAATTCAGCACTCTTCTTTCCTGAGTGACTGATCACAAGGGTTCCTCCTTCAAATCTGCAGGCCAAAAAGGACATGTTCTGAATTCTGTGTCCCATATGCTCAGGGACTACAAAGTCCAGGAACATGGGAGGACAATTATAATCACACAGTCAGCATTCCATTCATGGCAGGCTATCACCCATGGACGTAGGAGAGCAATACCTTTTGCAGTACACCCTGGGAGGAGGTCATCTGCAGCCACGTACTTGGCAAATGCATCAGGGCTCTTTTCTGCCCTGCTATATTTATTATGACTTTTTTCATATATAATCATCGTTCCATGGGAAAATTTTCACTACCATATTCATGTACACACACACACACACACACACACACACACAAATACACACATTCTCATTCTACACACTTTTTTCCTTTATCCTGTTTCTAAAACATGAAATTTTATTGTTCTAAGACATTTGGGGTGAGAAACCACCAGAAGGCAATTTTACTGCTAAATTATAAAACCTATGATAATGTAGGCTAACTCTCATTATCAATGTCCTTAGCAGGCCTCATGTGATGGAACTCTATATGGCAGTGGTTCTCAACCTTCTGGCCCTTTAAAATCAGTTCCTCATGTTGTGAACCAACCATAAAATTATTTTCGTTGCTACTTCATAACTGTAATGTTGCTACTGTTATGAATCGTAATGTAAATATCTGATATGCAGGATGGTCTTAGGCGACCCCTGTGAAAGGGTCGTTCGACTGCCAAAGGGGTCGCGACCCACAGGTTGAGAACCGCTGCTATATGGGTTGATAAAATGTGGGATGAGAATTCTAAGAACCTATGTTGATAGAGCTGGCATCTTAATTTTCAGAGGCAGCTTCCCCCGCTGTGGAGGCAAGTGCCCTGTGATGTATTTCAGCCAGCAGCAGCTCCACCCTGTGACGTGTATATCAAGCAAAGAAGACAAAGGAGTCAGCAAAGCCAATTCAAATGCTGCCTTATGCAAAAAAGAAATAAAAAATAGTGGAGAGGGCCTTGAATCTGGGTTTGACACTTCACTTCAGGCCTAGTGATTCTGTTCTTGGCTAAATTTGCTTGAGGGGCAACAATTTGGGGGAAAAGGGGCTTCTCTACGGAAGACACACAGGCCTGTTGTAGGCAATTGAGAAAGATGTGGGGGCTGAAAACGATCAGTTGAAGCTGGGTTTAAATGAATGAATTGATGCTAGTGTTAGAATAGGAATTATTTAGACAAATAGATTAGTTGGGGACATATCCCTAACTTTTGAGGCAAGTCAGGAATGGTGAAGGCTGTTGCAATCATCTCCCTAAAAGCAAGAGGGGAAATCAAGTTATCTTGCTGGGAAGTTGTTGAAGTTTTGGAGCCAGGAACCTGACAGGAAAGAGGCAAGATTTCCTTGGCCTTCTTTTCCTGATAAGTCATGTTCCTGATTTTCTAGTAACGTGGAAGAGAAGAACTTGAGAGGCTTCGCCCTTCCTAAGTAGAGACTAGAAACATCCTGGAGTAGGAGGTGCAGGGAGGTCAGGAAGACACCTTTGGAGATAGAGGGAGAAGCAGACTATGTTCTGAGAAGAATCCTGGGCCCGAATAGCATGAGTGAGGCCTGGTTTTGCTCCATGAGGAACTTGTTTATAATTGCATGCTTCAGATTGCTGAATAAGGGCTGGCTGCTTAACTCACGTCCCTGTAGACTAGTTAAAAGTTAGTCACACAGGATGGTGTAAGTGGTTACAATAATACGGCTCCATAATGTTAGGAGGATTATTTTGTTCTGTTCTCGCCTTCTATATGTATCTACTTGGGGTGCCTTCTTTTCCTCCTTATTTATGCCTCTTTCATCATCTCCTTCTACCACACGTACCTCTGACCAGTCAGAGAGGAGCCACTCGCTGGGACAGTCCTCTTTCTTGCAGGCTTGCTGGGAGGCCAGTTTTGAGGCTGAACAGAAGGTCTCAGGAAGCTCCAGGAAGCTGCCATCGGCCATGCGCTGCTTGCAAAGCACCTCACGCCTCTGGACGCCCCCTCCGCAGGTCCTGGAGCACTGGGCAGGGAAGGAAAGTCAACCCAACATAAGGAAGTGGCGTGTTTGAGTGTCCAGTTTTGCCTTGGCCTTGGCCTTGGCCGAGTAAAGAGCAAAAAAAGAAAAATACAGAAAAAGAAGATAAACCAGAAACCAGCCCAAAGGATTTCGCTTCCTCTCCGTGAAATACAGTTTGGAGCAAGAGCTACACCCTCCACTCTTAATCTCAAGTATTTAACTAGAGCGCCAAGGAATTTGAAGAGCATTTAAATCTTAGAAAGTTGCATTTAAAGGATGATTTGCAGCCACCCAAGACAACTGGTTTAAAAGGTTAGTATAATGGAGTGTTAAGCATATTTACGATCCAGTGAAAATAATCTGTGCTGCTTCCTGAAAGAATAAGAGCTCCGCCTGCCATCGGTGTAAATCTGGAGGAACTAATCTGCAGAGAAGGCAGCCCTTTCTGAGTGTGCGCACCCACGCTACCACATCGGAGGGGCAGAGGGGCGTTAAACGCGAGGCCTGGTTTGCTGAACTCCCCGGGAACACTTTTCTTGTTGGAGTTGTGATTTCTTAGGGCAGTGGGAGCAAGAGCCACTGATATTTGGGATACAAGAAACACAGCCTTATTTCAGTGGTTTTCAGCAGGACCCCAAACACACTGTCTACATGTAACTCCTAGTTATAATCCACTTGCATGAGGAGGGAGAGAGGACCCCAGCGGCATAGAGTGTTGACTGTTATTGCAAGTATTTGCCCTTCTCTTGCAATAGCAAAGGGGCCCCCAATTCGTAGCTGGACACATGACGTTTCAGCCTACAGAATAGATGTGGCCACCTCCCCTGAAGGTAGAAATGGCCAGGTGACCAGGTGCTGCCCCTGCTCCGGCAGTGGCCACTTAGAACTTGGGGTCTGTGTTCAGTGCACTGAATTCAGAACTGCAAGGGACATTTGTGTCCCCAGATGAAGGTAGGGTGTGTGGTGAGACATGTCCTTGAGTATAATTTGCAGGCTGTGTGGCCCAGCTGCCATCCATTCCTCAATGGTCCCAACCTTAGATGCTTTTTTAAATTGCCTGGGTTTTGTTTTGTTTTGTTTTGTTTTGTTTTTTTTATAAAGTACATTTAATCAGAAACTTAATCATTAAAGCAGAAACTCTGGGAGATGGGTCTCAGATATCAGTTTTTTAAATCAAACAAAAAAATTCTCCCAGGTAATTCTGCAACCAGGGCTGAGAATCATCTCTCAAAGAATGCCCCTTTGCCATTTCCAATGGGAATAAGGTAAACATAGAGGCCTAGGTTAGAACCAGTGGTTGTTTGGATCACACTGGAGCAGAAGTGCCCTTTGTCGGTAGTTGTGAATGGCTTGAGGTCACAGAGCTACTGAATAATGAAGTTAGAAAGACTATGAACTTAGTCTTGTTAGGCTTTTATTAAAAAAAGTTTTTATTATATTTTTTGCTGTGTTTCTTTACTTTTCAATTTTATTTTCTTTATTTTTAAATTTATCTCTATTGTTGAAAGTATTACATGTGCCCTCCTTTTCTCCCCCATTGAGTCCTTCTATTCTATTCCCGCCCCTCCATCGTCCAGCACCTTCACAGTACTATTGTCTGTGAACATGGGTTATGCATATATGTATATAAATTCGTTGGTTAATCTCCCTGCCCCCCTCCCTCTGAGATTCATCAGTGTGTTCCATGCTTCCATGTCTCTGGATCTATTTTGTTCATCAGTTTATTTTGTTCATTAGATTCCACATGTAAGTGAGATCATGTGATACTTGTCTTTCTCTGACTGGCTTATTTTTCTTAGCATAATACTCTCCAGGTCCCTCCATGCTGTCTCAGAGGATAAGATATCTTTTTTTTTTTTTACAGCTGCATAGTATGCCATTATATAAATGTACCACATCTTTTTTATCCACTCATCTATTGATGGGCACTTGGGCTGTTTCTAAATCGTAGCTATTGTACATAGCGCTGCTATGAACATAGGGGTGCATATGTTCTTTTTGATATGTTTTTATTAATTTTAGAGAGAGAGGAAGGGAGAGGGAAAGAGAAAGAAACATTCATGAGAGAAACACTGATTGGCTGCCTCCTGCACACCCCCTCCTGGGGATCGAGCTGGCAACCTGGGCATGTGCCCTGAATGGGAATTGTACTGGCAACCTATTGGTGCCTGGGACTATGCTTAACCAACTGAGCAACACTGGCCAGGTCTTTTTAGACCTTTTAACCCTAGAGCCTTTCAGACCATCTAATATAGTGGTGAACAACCTTCATTTGCATTTCAAAAATTTAAAATTTTTGAAATGAGAAAAACCTATTGAGTTCCGTAGGAAAAAAAGTACTTTCTTATGGCTGAATTCAACTACTTAGTGAATAAAAGAAGGCTAAGGATAAAGGTGAAACCACCCAATGAGGTAAGTCTTGTCCCCACTTTAAAGATGAAGAAGCTGAGGCTAAACAGGTGAAGTGACTCAACTAAGGCCCCATGCTGAGCATGTTCTCTGGGCTAGGGTGGTGGACACAACTGAAGAATGAGCCCACGCTTGGTTTCTCTTTCTTGTGGTTGTGGGAACTGCTCTCTGTTTGCGATGGCGGGTACTCTGATTGCTGCTTCATGCTGAGGGCCCAGGCCTTGCAAGCCCCAAGCCTGTTAAGGGCCTGATCTTCCCCTCACCCCCACCGGAAGGGCAGTGCTTTGAAAGTCAATCCTCAGCCTCTACTCTGTGACTGTTCCTAACCAGCAGGAACCAGCCTGTGATCCAGCTTGGGGACCAACATTCTAAAACAGCTCATCTGCACTATGGTAGGCCTGGAAATGTGTTCTCTCTAGACACTTTGATTTCTGAGCTGAAAGGCTACACTGAACATAGCTTCTAGGCCAGGGGTGGGCAAACTTTTTGACTCAAGGGCCACAATAGGTTCTTAAACTAGACCGGAGGGCCGGAAAAAAAGCATGGATGGAGTGTTTGTGTGAACTAATATAAATTCAAAGTAAACATCATTACATAAAAGGGTACGGTCTTTTTTTTTTAGTTTTATTCATTTCAAACGGGCCGTAGTTTGCCCACGGCTGTTGTAGGCTATGCCACTGGCTGGCTGGTGGGGTAGGCTACATATGGTGGTCTACAGCCAACTGTTACTCATCACAGATTAAACAGTTTCTTCCAAGACTTGCTTAGCTTGTCATTTAGTCTTAAGGAAAAATTTATGGCTTTGAAGCTAATGATTCAAGCGGAGAGTGGCCCAGGCCGTTGGCTTCTCTGGCTCATTTTGGTGATTCTCTGGCCTTTTTATTTATCAGAGAAGCAAACTTTTTAGTTCTTGTTTAGTAGTAGTTCAATAAACTCTTGAAGGATTTTACTTCTTGAATGCATTTGTACCCACACTGTACTGCAAAGTGCTTTTTGTGAATATAAATTCTCAATGATATTTGTGGATTAAAATGGAAGCTATTGGTTGGGGGAAATTTTGGGTTTTTTTTGTTGTTGGGATAAGTTTAAATTAGCACCTAAGAATTCCATTTATTCAGAATAAACATTCTTGTTACCGTGGATAACTAAGGTTTTAAAGTCTTTTGCATGACTTCTTACGTTCAGCCTTTTCCCATTTCTGTCAAATTATCACTTCTAACCAACCAGTTATTCTATCATCAGATTCATTATAACCTTCATTGTTCAGGCTGTCTTCAGAACTCTTTTATAACTAGACAACAAATCATATGCTTTATTGATTCCTGAGGGTTTGCCAGACTTAGGGACTGTGTTCTCCACAATGCTTTCCATTCTGTGAATTATTAAATTTCTTTCATAAACTTCATGTAATTTTGTTCAAGTCATAATTGTCTGAAAAAAAGTTTATACTGATGAGTTGAAAATTTAAATCTTAAGCTCTGATCTCTCCCCTATTCTTACTCAGTATGTCCGCTGAAATGCAAATAGGTATCTGGACCTAAACATGTCTAAATGGAACTTATGATTCTGCCTCTCCAATATTACCCCAAATCTGCTCTCTTCTCAGTCTTCTTCACTCATTTAATGGTGCTATAGCCAAGACACAACTTAGGAAAAGTTCTTTTTTCTCACCACCTCCATCCTGACACCTAATACATGAGCAAATGCTTTCAGATTTGCCTCTAAAATAAGGAAAACTGACCTCCACAATAAATAATAAGTTGGGATACCACCATCTCTTGCCTAGCCCTCTACTAAGCTTCCTAACTGGTTTTCCAGTTTCTAGTTTTCTCAGTTAGCTCTTAGCAGGATATAGATAGCATACTCAATTGAAGCTCCTCTCTCTCTTTGATGGTCTCTGAAAACCCCATTGACTGAACACAACTAGAAGCCAGAGGGTAGAGTCTATCTAGGTCAGCCTCCTGGACACAGGTGCAGAAGGTAGAGAGTGGATCTAGAGGAGCAATGGAAGATATTGAGCATTTCACCTTATTCTCCTGCAGTCTATTCTTCACAAGAATGATGTTTTCAAAGAATAAATCAGCTCACATAATTCCCCTGCTTAAAAATCTCCAATGACTTCCCCTGGTGATTAGAATAATTTCAACTCCTCTAACCCGGCCCTGCAAAGCCCTACATGTTCTGGTCCCTGCCCTGATGAAACTTTGAGACTGTCTAACTCAAATCCTTCCAACTTCATCCATTCATTCCACACAAAGTTATTAAATACCAATGATGGACCAAGCCTGGTTCTAGGTTTTAGCAGGGAATAAGAAGCCCTGCATAACCTCTCTCCAGTTTTGTCTCATACAACTCTCCTTCTTCCTTGCATATTCCAGCCACAGTGTTTTGATTTTTGCTGTTGCTCCTCCAATGCCAAGCTTGTTTCTTTCACAGGGCCTCCACGCTTGATTTTTTCTCTACTTGGACTAATCTTCTCTTGCATTTCCATGTGGCTGAGAATTTCTAATCACTCAGGTTCAAGTCCATTCTCACCTGCTTAGAGAGGCCATCCCTAGCCTCCTAAGCTAGAGCAGCCAAAGCAGTCTCTATCC